TCCCTGAAGCCAACTTGGTGGAAGAAGAGAACTCACTCCTGCAAGTTAGCCTCCACACACGTTCCTACATGTGCATGTGGGTGCAGGGGCACACTGGTGCATTCACACACACACACACACACACACACACACACACACACACACACACACGCAAACTAGTCTAGGGCTGAGGAGATGGGCCAATGAACAAATTACTTGCATGCAGACCTCAGTTCGGTCCACAACACACATTAAAAAGCCAAGAATGGTTTGCAACCCAAGCCCTGGGTAGTAGCACAATGAGGATCCCTGGGGCTTCCCTCCAGACAGTCTAGCCAACTGCTGAGTTAGGAGTTCAGTAAGAGATCCTGTTGCCCCTCCACTGCTCCCCTCCAAAAGGTCAACGTCTCTTTGGCTCCATGTGTGTCCCCAGCAGACAAGAGCACACAGAGTCACAAAGATTTAGTTGAGTTCAAAACAATAAAGAAATCGAAACTATATAAACAAACATAGAATAGTTCACCACATCAAAAATAACTCCATTTTAGAAATTAAAGCTAAGGAAACTGCATCTTCTTAGCCATAATTATCTCTTCGTTCATGGTGATAAATTTAACTGATTATATATTAAAGAGTGTTCTGTGATTATTGATCCACACATATTAATAACATAAAGGAAATAGGAGAATGAGAATTCAGGTCACACGTGTACTCAGTGATTATTGGAATCAGATGGTCATTTCATTCCATGTGGGAAATACTAAGAGTACATAAAAGTACTTGAAAATCTCACATTTAAACCAAAGGAAATCAAGCTCATCGCTAGTACAATGTCATGAACTTCAGTCAAGGAGACTGGGAAACAGTGCAGAGAAAATCGTGAAGCATAATCACAGGTGGAAATCTGTGTTACCTGTCGTACACATTTGATCAAGGCAAGCAAAAGAACAGATGACTCCATACCAAAGGATTAGGTTTAATTTCACTACCTTTTTTTCTATTTTACCTATAAAGAAACTGTATTCATATGATATAAAAAAATCATTGGAACTCTCTTAGTATAATTATAAAGTTCATTTAATGGACATAGGGTCAGTACCAACCCTTGTACATACAATAAAACATGAAATCCATTAAGGGAATATTTTACCAATGCAAGGTTCAAGGGTCCCCAGCAGTATTGTGGTGGTTTAAATAGGTATGTCCTGCAAGGACTTGTGTGTCTGAATGCTTGGTCTATAGGGAGTGGCACTCTTAGGAGGTGTGGCCTTGTTGGAGTAGGTATGGCCTTGTTGGAGGAAGTGTGTCACTGTGGAGGCGGGCTTTGAGGTCTCATATCTGTTAAAGCCATGCCCAGTGTGACAGTTCACTTCCTGTTGCATTTGAATCAAATGCAGAATTCTTTGCTACCTCTCCAGCACCATGTCTGTCTGCTTGCTGCCTTGTATACTGCCATGACAAAATGGACTAAACATCTGAACTGGAAGCCACCTACCCCAATTAAATGTTTTCCTTTGTATGAGTGCTGTGGTAATGGTATCCCTTCACAGCAACAGAGACCCAAATTAAGATGTGTCAAGCCTACAGGAGTCACTGAATGCAAACAGCTGAATGAATGAATTCGTATGGGAGGATTATATATATATAAAAATCTATGATCAGACTGGCTCCTTAAATACTACCCTTGTAAACTGGGGTATACTTATATTGTCTACATTTTACATTATAATAAATACAATATTTAAAAGAAAAGTAATTCTCATGGAGTTTTTAAGACCCCCAATAACATAGCTTCTGAGAATCAAAAACAGTAGTAGTTAAAACTTCCATGTGACAGAAAATGTTAAAGATAACAAGAGTAACAACAACAACAAAAAAAAATCAATGACCACCGATGCTCTTTTAAAAAGTGTGAAACACCAGCATGAATAAAACATCACAAAATAAATGTAGTGGAGATGACTGTGTTGATACACACTTGATCTGTTTGTTTTTTTTATTTTTATTTTATGTGCATTGGTGTCTTGCCTGCATGGATGTCTGTATAAGGGTATGGAGCCCCTAGATCTGGCTTCACTGATAGCTCAGCAGTTAAGAGCACTGGCTGCTCTTCCAGAGGAACCAGGTTCAGTTCCCAGCACCCACATGGCAGCTTACAGCTGTTTGGTACATGTTTGTAACACTCGAATGTAGTAGTAGGAACACACAGGAGGGTCACTGTTATTTTAATGCTTTATTAATAACTGAAGAAAAATCACTCTATTGTATCATAAAAAAGCAATTACAGGGGGTAAGTGAGACAGCTTAATGGGTAAGGGACATGCCACCAAACCTGACAACCCAAGTTTGATCCCTAGAACCTACACAGTGACGGGAGAAAACTGACTCCTGCAAGTTGATCTGCCTCCACAAGCACACTATGGTATAGGTGAACCTACACACAGAGCCATAGACACACAAAACAAATAAGACAAAGCAAAAACAATAAAAGTTAATGTCAACCCAACTGATTAAATCCTTTACGTGGGGTATGTACCCTCCCTCACATACCTCCAATTAGACCCTTAATTAGAAATGCTATCAGTCAATCTCTACAGAGCTGAAAATTGTCACTGAGTACAAGGTCAAAGTACTTTTAACTGTTGAACAGTCTTGAAACGTGTCTGTAGAGAGGAATCATTCATAAGTCTAAGGCACATGTTACAAAATCAAGGGCGAAAACCACATATATGAAAATATAACTGTTACATTCAATTGCCTGAATAGTTTTTATTTTTCCCAGTTTTGTTCCATACTAAAACTGTTTCAAGGAGAACCTTATCTACGTGGGGATAGTTTATATATGTGCCCTGGCTTCTGGCTTCTGACACACTATTGAGTTAGGAATTGACACCCTCCTATTTACATCTCCTGACTCCACCTCCAAAGTTCACAGGTGATTGTGACTGTTTCTGCAGGAGAACAATGATTTGTTCTCAATTTTTTTTTTTTTGTTTTTTTTTTTGGTTTTTTTTATTATTATTATTATTATTATTATTTTATAACACAATTCAGTTCAACATAATAGCCACAGAATCCCCTGTTCTCCCCCTCTCGCCCACCCCTCCCCCCAGCCCACCCCCCATTCCCACCTCCTCCAGATCAAGGTCTCCCCCGAGGACCGGGGTTGACCTGGTAGACTCAGTCCAGGCAGGTCCATTCCCCCCTCCCAGACCGAGCCAAGTGTCCCTGCATAAGTCCCAGGATTCAAACAGCCAACTCATGCAACGAGCCCAGGACCTGGCACCAATGGCTGAGGGGCCCCCAACTGGATCAGGCCACCTGAACGGGTGAGACAGTCATTTGGCTTGATCTGTTTGGGAGGCAGCTGTGCATTGGTGCCAGGTCCTGGGCTCGTTGCATGATTTGTTCTCAATTTTAAATGTGTTAAATTAAGAATGTTCTTATTCAGAAACACCAAGGAGCAAACCATATGCTGATGCTGAGCAATCTAGTTTAGTCACACTCCAAACAATTTACATCCAAACACATCTTCCAGCTTAAAGTCAGCCTCCAAGACACAGTGTCTAAGTGACATAGACCTTAGAAAATACTCAGAAGATGAGAACAGTATGATTTTTAAATGATTGTGTAATGGGAACCTGCACTTTAATTACTTTGGACACAACTTTTCAATGAAAAAGAGTAACAGTGCCATATTTAGGCAAAATAGAATAGAAACTTTAATCTATTATCTATTTAATTTTTATCTCTCATCTCACCATTTTATTTTCATAAACCATAAATTATGCAATGGGAGATTCATAATTAGGCTAGCACATTATTAGGTAGACCATGACGAATATTACCTTCCATAGTTCAGCTGCTAAAAATGAAATTTAAAAAAGAATACCACAATTGCCAAATGCAAAGGATTTAAAGTTTGCAGTTGGGTACTGTGGTGAATATTTGCATTTTAGCCTTGAGCACAGTGGGTCAGTGTACATGTGCCAGAAGTCCTGGGAAGCTGTTCACTGTCCAGGCCTACTTAGTTTGTTTATAGCTCACACAGTTGGAATGAGATTAAGCAACATGCATAAAAAATTGTTTCTTTATACTAAATTCTACTTCATAAAAAATGGTATAGAACCTACATAAAAAATTTGATATAGATATTCCCAAAAGCTTATGAGGAAGATTACCACTTCCCACTAAGACATCCTCCCAAATATAATAGCAAATACTTTATCTATGTTGTTACAGTGAGACATGGCAAGCATGTATATCTGCATGTCAATCTTGCCTATAAGCAGGCTGAGTACAAAGTTATCATGTATTTATATTGTTTCAAATATCTTTTCTTACCCATGGTTTGACCTATACTGGAAGTTAGGCAAATATAAGTAAAACTCAAATAGCACTTTTTTTCATATAAAAGTTCATGAACATCATTACCACATATTTTCATTCATTTAAATAAAGAAATGATCTAAATACCATCTGTGCATGATAGTCTAATTAGGGGATTAGGACCACAGATGCTGTGCTTGCTCACATGTTTAAGCACATGCCCCTCTGACCACTGCATTAAAAAAAAGTTAACTAACAAATAAATAAAAGTGAACGATGTGCAGGTAAACAGAAAACAGCTCTTTCCATTCAGCACTGACAACCAGAGTGAAGCATCCTCCACAGACCTGAGCTGCTGCCCTCTCCTTGGGAAACGACACATCTTCCTTGGCTTGCGCACCTGCCCCAGCACCAGCCCAAAGACAAACCTGGCATCACATGAATCAGATCTCAGTAAGTTTATACAGCAGTTTACAGAACACGGTTACCTACAGCCCGTGCCAGGCTGGAAGTAATAAAGTCTCTTTAATTTGGATTTGGTATCTAGAACACAAAGAGCCCATGAGAACACAAGACTGTTCGGGAAGCAAAGAAGTGAGCCATTCTACCAGAATGATAGATGAGTCCCATGTGACCCTCTATGACCTATGAAATAGAACCTTTGATATGTTAGCTTCAGAGCCATTCAGTTACAGAAGTGCCACTGAACTGTGGAAGGGCAAATGACAACTGAGTCAATACGGAAGTCAAAACAGAGCGCAGGACTGCTTTTCTTATCTGGTAAAGTTTTCACACTGAAATAGCTTTCAACTAGAAACACTGTGTGCACTCTAAGAATATCAGTTCACTCCAGCCATACACACAAGAATCGGGGAGTTGATGCTTCATAGCATTTTAGGGTGTCATCCATTAAATTCGCCTAGAAAATAAGTGCAATCCTATTCTGCCGTATGTCATGAATGGAAAGGAGTATCCTTGGGCACTTTCTACCCTTGGAAAGCCAGGTAAAGTACACACACACACACACACACACACACACACACACACACACACACACTCAATCTCGCTTCCTGAAAAAAGGCATCTTGTTGCCCTCTCCATACAGACCAAAATAAAACAAAAACAAAAACAAACAAACAACCTAGTAAAATGTAAGATCTTGGGGGCTGGGGATGTAGCTCAATCAGGAGAGTGCGTCCTTAGCATGTGTGAATTTCTAGGTTGAGTCTTCAGCACTGCAAAAACGGGTGCAATAAACATGCCTGTAATCCCAGCACTCAGGAACTGGAAGCAAGAAGAGCGGAGGTTCAAGCCCGACTGGGCTGTGGAGAGTGGATCAAGTCCCGAGTGAATGCGTGCTGTGGGCGTGAGCCAGACCGTGTCAAGGACCCAATGACTAAGACCCACGGAAACGGCAAGGCCTTCCTCAGTTTTGTCATTTCTGCAGAAATGTCAAAACCTTCCTGATATGAGCATGAAGGTGGAGGAACAATTGACCTTTAGCTATGACCAATGTACGGAAAGCGGCAGGCACCCTTTCTTTCATGGATGGCCACATTCTGAACTTCTCCCATGCAGAGGCCTCGCATGGAGTCTCAGTAAGCCCCCGTTCTAGAATGTCTTACTGTACACAATAAAGTCCCAGAGTTTCTGGGTTGCGTAGTTGGTGCCCTCCATCAAAGGCAGCACACCTCACCTACTCTCAGCTTTTCTGTACGTGTGTCTGTCCTTTCTCCATTCTCCTGTTGCCCCAATCAGATGTCCGGAACCAAGCCGTGCAGGACGTGGCGCTGGGCTCCATAAGACCATGACTCTAAAGAAATCAATCAAGTCATCCCCACAGGCTTACTAAAACAGGAAAAGTAAATCAGTTAAACTTCCTAACGTGTTACAAACACCCAAGAAGAAAGATGCTCTGCATTTCCATTAAATGTTCCCTGAAGAAGAAAGTCAGTACATTTGCACTCACACACCTTGACACATGAGTCGTTCCCCACTTTTTTGTTCCTGTTCCAATCACAGCACTCTGCACCGGGAGGAACTGGCCTGCTAAAGAGCAGCTATTTATGTCATGGTTTCATAAGACAGAACCATGTCCAGCTGGAAATAACTTCAGGCATTTTCGGCCCAAACCAGCTATTTAACTAGGTCTCTTCAAGTCAAATTAGGTCTATGCAGATTCTCTGCATTCTGGTCCAAGGAGCAAAAAGCCTTCATTTAAATACAGCTTAGAAAATGTGGAATTATATGCTGTTCTTCCAATGGTCAGGCTCTGTTGGCTATTGACTGCCGCATTCCCCCCTTGGATGGTGGGAGCCATTCCTTATGAATATTGGCGGCTGCAACAATTTCATATTGTCAACAGATGCGGCAAGGCTGCTTATTCAGCTCAGGAGTGGCTGCCAGTGGAGACTCATTGCTTCAGGCTGTGGCAAATTAATCCCAGAGGAGATGAGTTCTATTTGTTTCTCTAATAGTGGAAGAAAATATTGACGAGAGGATTCTGAGCCATGTATGAAGGACAAGAGTCCTGGAACATTTACTGGCTCAGTTCAGCCTCCTCAGGTGGGTGCTCAGAGCATCCTCTTCAGTGGGCTCACCTCTCAGACTCCTCTTTCTACCTCTGTTTCAGTGGTGGGGGGCTTAGCCTCGTGGACAGACGTACTTATATCTGGTACTAACACATTTGAAGGAAATAATAAAAATGCCATGAAAGTGACAAATGAAAACAAGGAATAGCATTTTCCTTTTACTGTCTGATTTTGAAACATCTGATTATTTTTAGAGGCTCAGCATCTTATATGAGTAAGTCATTTGGTCCACTGCATTTTACCATAATGAGCTAATATCCTAATGGGAGCCACTATTTTTCTGTACTCTTCCTTTATATATGCTATTGAAAAATGCATCCTCACCACGAACAAAAACTGGCAGGCTTTAGTTATGTTCACGTAAGGTCCATGGCCCAGTAGAGCAAGCGCAGAGTAAAAAGAGGCAAGGGTAGAAAGAGAAATATTTTCCAGTTCTTTAAGTAGAAATTCCATTTAAATTGTTTTATGGTCATCCAATAAGAGAAGTTACTCAACATTTTAATAAGAGTTACCAATGTAATATTATACTTTTAATGGGCACTGAACAAATGGAAATAAACACACAAGTAGCGGCTATGAATGTTAACCCTTCCACTGTTGTTAGATGAATAGCAATAAGTAACATGTGGATCCCAGGGCAAATTCAGTTTGATGTTTATATGCCTTGGAACCTTATTTGGTCCTTTCTTTAAAAGTAACAGTAGGTGAAGGGGGGGTATTTTTTTTTAAGCTAGGCAATGTGGCCTTTGCGTATAATTGCACTATTCCTGAGGATGAAACAGGAAGCCTGTGGCAAGTTTGAGATCACCCCCGGGTTACAGAATGAGGTACAGTCCAGCCTGGGCTATAGAATCAGCTCCTGTCCCAAAACAAACCGAAAGAGTGGATATCAGCTATCTTTTCTTATCCTTGATTTTAGGCTTCTAAAATCTTAACTACAATTTCAAAGGAGCCCGCTACTTTTTAAAATACAGCTACAGGGCAATGTTTGCAACAAGGGCAGCCACAGGGGTCCAGGTAGGAAAGTAAATGTTAGGGGTTTTCTTGATTTGGAAAAGTTTTTTATTTTTAAAGTGGGGGGGGGGGTTGCGGGGAGAATAACACGAAATATGATCCTTGCAAATCTAGAATGTAGTGAAGACTGACCAGAATCCTCGAAGCTGGATCCAGGAATCATCGGCTTTGCGGAGACCATGTGCCCACCCAGCAAAGGCAAAGCCATTGTGTACTGTCTTCCCTTCTGTCTCTCTCTCCTTCCAGCTCACCCCCACCCCCTTACTTCAAAACACAACAAGCTGTTGTGAGCTGACATTTCGAGCATACGGCCATCCCGAAGAATGTTCTGCCAAAGCCTCTTCTCCGAGGAGAAGTCTTTCTGTCACCTCTTTCTGTCCAGGGGAATGTACATATCTTCTTTCCACATTTCCCTATCCCCACTACCCAACAGTCACTTCATCTCAATTCTCAGCTCCTCACCGTCCATCTATCTACTCCCCGCTCTCCTTCAAGTATCCCTTTTCTACTTATGCACTCACTCTCATGTATTTGGGGCAGACGCTTAAAAAAATGCTTGTTCTCTTTCTCCTATAGACTGTCCCTTCCATTCTTCTGACCTTTTCCTCTCCGTGGTTGACCACTAAAAAACAAAACACGTGCTAACCTACCACAGATTTCTTCCCAGACCATGGGCTTCAAGGTTTTGATTTTCTATGTTCTGTTAAAGCAAAAAAAAAAAAAAAAAAAAAAAAAAAAAAAAAAAAATCACGTCGGTGGCCCAATGGAATTTGGGTCTCCATAAAATGTACTGATATTCCTGCGTGCCTTCTAGGTGCCCAATACAGCAGCAATCCCTGTTCTGAATACACCTGTTTGTCCTCAGGCAGGGGATATTAAAATGACTACAATTCTACGCTATTCTAATGTATTAATGACTTAGCATGAACTTCCTTTTACGTATAGTTTTGCATCCATGGTTTACTTGAGAGTCACACCATCACTTAAACATTTCTTTCTTGCCTATCTAAATTATTTTTTAGGTTTATTTAATACATTTTTTTTAATATTTTAAAATTTAGTTTGGGAAAGACGTTAGAGTACAAATAAACCATTTGATTTGTGAATGAGATGTCTAAAACTCAGAGAATGAAATTATTGGTTCAGAGTTTCACCCATATTTATGAATTCCAAGAAAGATAATGTGGACTATGAGAAAACATGCATAAAACAACACATGATACGATCATATTTCTATAGAGGCAAAAAGCCATGACAACACATGTTATTAATATACAGCATTAGACGTCAAAATTGGAAGAGTTCAAAGGCAGACTATAGTGATGGAGAACTCCAAAGAGATTCTGAGTTTCTGTACATATCCTATTCATTGCTCTGCACAGTGGGTTCGTGAAATGCTTAACTGTATCTAGTTACATTCTTCTAACTTGGGCAATTTCCTGCATGCATATTTTAAAGTCAATAGAACAAGAAAGAGGGAACTACATATATATGTTAGAGCCAGATTATGAATTTATCATAGACTAATAAACCCCTTGCTGGGTCTCCTTCCAATCCACAGTACTGTAGAGTACCACAAAAGTATGTGAGGCTCACCTGGTTGCTTATAACCTGGATAAAATTGGCTCAAACCCCTTTCTAATTCCAAGGATGCTCAAATTGCTCCTAAATGTTTGTAGGGTTTGTTTTGTTTATTGTTGTTGTTGAAACTGGATCACTACTTAGCACAGATGCTTTGGAATTGGCTTATTTTCTGGCTTCAGCCTCCCAGCTATTGAGATAACAGCCTTTGACCACCACACCCAATTCTCTTTAAGTTTTGAGCCAAATTACTGAATGCTGGTTCAGTAGTAGTGGCTACCGATTTGAATTGCATCAACCTCAGCTTCTTCCAAAATTTTGTAAAATTGTGGTTTCAGTACTCTTATCTTTTATTCCAGTACTCTTCCTTCTTATCTCTCTAGTGGGATGATTATGAGGAGATTACGTTACACAAATGCATTTCATTTCTTGGTAAGTGGCCCACGTTGCATGTCTCAAAATCTTTGCCTTACACCCAAAGGAATCTGAGACCTCAGGAATTTTTCCTGATACCAGTTATTCCTTTTGAGAATGTAGTTTTGACCAATTAAGCACTTTTGTTGTTATTGTTACAAATCCAGAATAACTTAAAATATTTTAGCTTATCACAGCTTTCTCAAAATGAAAATACCATTTTCAACAAATTCAGTAATTGAAAGCATACATCTCTAGATAAGCTTGATTTAACTAAGTATAATAACCTTTTCCTGGAGACTGAGATGCTAAAATTTTATTGCTGGTTAGCCAGTGATTTAGAAATCTGAGTTTATAGCTACACAGGTTCTCAGTATCGACTCTAATAGAGGGGAATCAGATTTCAGCTGTGGTGAGAGCTTTGACAACGCTACAGATGTTACCCTCTGTGGGAACACATCAAACTGCTAATGATAATACCCCAAACAAGTCTAACTTCAAATACCCCTTTATTTCACTCAGGACACACAAACACATCATTTTGACCATGGCAGTTGAGTTAAATGTAAGGAACCATTTCAACTTTAAAAATGAACATCGTTGGAAAACAAACATGCTACAGAAGTCCTTTCTCTGTCTTGAAACAGTAGTTCTTTACATTTCGTAAAGCCCCCTGGCTTCCTTTCTTGTCCTGACTTCAAAGGCATAGAGAAGCTTAGATCAATTTTGCAGTGGTGTGTTGCATGATGAGAAACAAGCCCAGGCTCTGGCTTGGGTCAGGGTGGAGTCACCTCTCCCCAAACACTAGAAACTGTACAATTCTTATAAAAATTCCTGTGAGTAGCCATAAAGTAGATAGCTATTACATTAAGATTGATTTAAGACCCATGAGCCTACTGAAAGAATGGCTGCCCGTGCCCTGTTATATCTTGTGTGTCACACTAGAGGTAAGCAGGATGTAAACAATGGGTCCTCTAACAGGAACAGTGCTCTCTGGTCTCCTAGAGACAAGATGATGCATTCCCCACACACAAAGACTCCCAGTAGCACAGGCAAAACTGGAGCCCTTGCCTACAGTCAACAGAGAACAGGTTTGTAAGAGATTCTCACCTCAATGGATCCTGCAGCTTCAAGGTGAACCGATTCCAAAGCTTTTAGGCATGCTCATCAATGAAGTCAATTTGAAAATAATGCCTCTCAGCATATTTGCTAAGACAGAGATTTACTTCCTTCCTGTCACAGTTAATTTACATTAAGTTTTTTTTTCTTTTTCAAACTGTGTCTGCTTGATTAAATTTTCAAAGTTTCCAAAAGACTTAAGGACGAGCCAAGATGGCACTTTTTTTTTTTCACATATGCCAGAGAACCCTATTACAGGAATGCTTGGGGCTACAAGCAGCCCTTCTTTCCAAATTAAATTACATTCCCAAGTTCACTGTATACAGATTTCTATAATTAAACTAAACACACCAACTTGACTGTCTCAAGAGAGCCATGACCAGAAGGAAACACACAACTGCACAAGGGCACACGTACACAAAGTGCTTTTCCTTTAAGGCAAACAGAGTCGTGCAGCGAGTGATGCATGCAGGATGTTTCTTCCTATCTGGGCAGAAATGGTGGAAGTCAGCAATTTGGCGGGAGCAGAGACTGGCATGTTGAGTGCCAGTTGGGCAGCTTGACAATATGGAGTTTTGATTCCTGCTTGGGAACTGTGTGTTCATAACAGCATGAGCCTCGTTTGGATCGAAGGAACACAGTAAATAACTCCAAGGGTAAAGCAGAGAAAGGCAGCCAGTTAAAAGGAAAAAAAAAGATATAAGAAGAAAGACACAAAGCTTAAAAAATTAACAGTATGCTATAGAATCTGAAAGAAAACAGATTGGAAGAAATAAGAGTACTAAAAGCCAAGCTGTTGAAGAGATGACAGTCTTAATGTCTTCCTGCTCTCCCTTCTGTCTCCCTTGATCCTTCACTTCTGTAAAATTTTATGCAAATGTCACAGTGAGGCCCAAAGGAACTGTTCTAAAGGGGACTATTCCTATGCCCACTGCACCCCTTATAGCCCTTAACTCTATGTTCCCTCCAAGAACTTCTCATCACCCAGCACACCATGTATTTTACTTATTTACATACTGGGTGTCTTCTGCCATGGGAATACTAGATATACATGGACAGGAATGTTTCCAGCTCTGTTCACAACTGTATATCCAGGGCTGAGATTTTTGCTGGCTAAACAGTGTTTGATAACTATTTAAAAAATATAGAATTCTGTGCATTGAACACCCATGTGCCCCCCAAATTCATAGGCCAAAACACTAATGCTCAAGGTGATGCTATTTTGAAAAATGGCCTTGGGGAAGGAATTAGAATCACATGAGGCTATGAGGATGGGACTCTGTGGTAGGAGTAATACTTTTGTAAGACAGGAAGATCTTGCATGTGTTCTAAGGATCTTCTATCTATCTATCTATCTATCTATCTATCTATCTATCTATCTATCCATCCATCCACTTGCCTTTCTATCTATCATCTTATCTATCTACCTAACATCTATCATCTATCAATCATCCTATCTATCTATCTATCTATCTATCTATCTATCTATCTATCTATCTATCTATCTATCATCTATCTATCATCTATCTATCTAATCTATCTCTCCTCCCTCATCACTCTGTCCACCTCCTTTTCTCTTTTTTTCCTTCTCCCTCTCTCTTTCACTGTGTCCCTCCTTCCACATAAAACAAAAAGGAAATGTTAAGACCTAACCAACTATCTGTTCTTGTACTCCTATCAGAACAATGTACTGCTTAAACCACCCAGTCAATAGCAACCCAAACTAGAGAAGGAAAATTCCCATTGTTGATGGTAAATGCAAGAATAGAAACAGATTTTGTTTGCCACTTGGACATACTCTGAATTTCTTTTCTTTTCCTTTATTATTTTGAGTTCTATCTTTGTCAGAATGTTTTCCTATAATTCTAATATATTTTTATATTAATTGTACAGTTGTTTTTCTATGTATCCTAAATAAGTGGTTTAATTTCATTCTTTTTCCTTCCTTTTTATATGTAGTGATATTTTGAACCTGAAAAACAAAATCTCCAAAGACAAGAATATTAGGAGAGAGCAAGGCAGAATCATGTTGAGAAAGTGACAAGAACAGCGTGAGACACGTGGCTTCCTTTCAAGTTTCAGTAATAGCCAAGTAGGTAAATTACAAATAACATCTCCAGAGACGGCTAATATATTCTGGGTAAAATATGAGCTCCAAACTCTTTGACATTATTGGGGTAAGGTGGAACATGGGTGAGAGAGACGAAGAGGATGCATCCTGAAGTAAATGGTCCTGCACTGGAGTGATGTTTATCAATTCATCTTCGCACCATTGCTACTGGCGGAATATGTGGAAATTATAGCAAGAACTCAAGCAATAACTTGGGATAAATAGTGTTACTAGTGTAATGCATAAAGACTGGAAAGGAGTATTTTTGTAATGGCTACAAAGGAAGAAATCCTCCACACTGAGTCCTATATGAGATGCTCAAAATTTCCCAATATTTAATTCATAGATGGGGCTGGCCAATGGTGGCACGTGCACTTGGGAGGCAGAAGCAGGTGGATCTCTGAGTTCAAAGCCCACCTGGTCTACAGAATGAGTTTCAGGACAGCTAGGTCTACACCGAGAAATCCTGTCTGGAAAAGCCAACCAACCAAAAAAACAAGTGAAAAACCTACTAGATGAGAATATTATAAAGCAGTCTATTAATATATCCCACTATACCCTTGGTTTTGAAATTAGCACACAATGACTTGAAGCAGTTAATGAAAATATAATGACTTAAAGTAGGTGAATCTGAACACTGACCTTTAGAAATTACATAAACTGGAGAAGAGAGAAAAAACTAAGTAAAATTATTATAGTTTCATAAATATTATGGTGAGATAATAATGAAGAATCTAAATATGTGTGCAAAAAGAATTTCAAAAGACATGAATAAAATTCAACAAAAACCCATGAAATAATGTCAACTTTTTCCAAAATGAAAAAGAAAAAAAGCGTAGGACCTGTTAGCCCCAAGGAACTTAAGAAACTGTAACACAATAAACAGAAAGCTAAATCTAGACTCATGAACCAAAGAGCTAAAAATCAAAATTAAAGAGATGCCTGACAGGAAACCAGAGTAAAGGGAATGCCTAACTTTAACTAAGTGTATTTGAAAATTAACAAAATGGAGGGGACAGTTAGATATTATAATATCAAAACACACAAACAAAAACTAACAACAGGTACCAGCCTCCCAGGGTACTCTATACCCAGTGAATGAAAGCATACTTTAAGGAATGTAGATAAACAACTGCTAACCTATTGGCCAAGCACCCCAATAAATTCTGAAGACCCTGTTAAGCTGAAGAAAAAGAACACCAAATAGAAACCACACACACATATATATATATATAAGAAGAATGAAAAGCATCCGAAACATTAAAGCCATAGATATAATGCATGGGATTTTTATCTTATTTCTTTTTCAAAGCTATTTTAAGTAGTAAAAATATAACATTATAGCATGGATGTTTATCATTTATGTCATTACAAATTACAAAGCAAAAAAAAAAAATCATACAAAGGCTGATGTCCCTGTAACCCATCAGAACAGGCATGTCACAGAAGACACATGTGTAATTTTAAAATTCAACATGAAGAGACAGCAGAGCAGCAGAAACTCAGTCTTAGTGAGAATGAGCCTGGGTTCACTGGGATGGCAAGTGAGCTTCGTGCTGCCAGAGCAGACCACCGCAGACTGGGTGATTCATAACGAACACAGATGTACTGGTCCGGGGTTCTGGAGGGTGGGAAGTCTAGGTCAAGGGCCTTCTTGCTGCATCTTCCTGTGACAGAAGTGGAAAGGAAGGAGCAGGAGAGGAAGGGGAGTAAGAGAGAAAGAGGAGAAAGGAGGAGGCAGTGGAGGAGGGGGAGAGGGATCTGACAATCTCTCCCCAAATGCTTTCTACTAATGCATCATGTCCCAGGATGAAAGTGAATCCCTCCCTTCCCGCATAATCACCTCACAAAGGTCTTCACCAGTGACTGTTCAAATTAATAGCAAGTACATTTTAACCATGAGTTTTAGAGGGGGCAGAGATTCAAATCACATAATTTCTAAAATAAGATGAACACCACAGATGGGCATGGAATGGCCTTCTTATGCCACTGGTAGGAGTATAAAACTGCAATTACTTTGGGGAATTATTTGGCCAAAATGTATAAAGTTAAACATACACTTAAAATACAATCCACCCATTCTATTCCAAACTGTTTATTTGAAAGAAATGAAAACATATGTCTATAAAAATACTTGTAAAATGTTTCTAACAGCATATTCATAATAGAGCCACCTGGAAAGAAGCCAAGAATCCATTAATAGAAGAATGGATAAACCAATTGTGATATATGCATACAAGGGAATTCCACTTGGCAGAGAAAAAGATTGAACTGCTGATGGGCAGACACATGGAGAAACTCCAAAAGCGTGTTTAGTAATGGAGGCCACACTAAAACTACACGCTGAATAACTCTACTTATGTGCGGCAAAGGAACAGAAAACACTAATCTATTATGGTTGAGGCACATGCAGGGCGTGTGTTTGTGTATGTGTGTGTGTGTGTACAGTGGTTTTTGGGTAATAGGGATAGACTTGGAAAAGCAATTAAATTTCTGGAATGATATGAAGATTCTCTATCTTGATGGGAGTTACAGTTACATAGGTGTGTATATTTCACTCATTCGATTGGAGCTTAAATATACACATTCCCATATATATAAAATAACAAATTATATATATATATATATATATATATATGCAATTTAATCTCAATAAAAATATTTATTCAATAGCTTGATATTCATCGCAAAATTATCTTTCAAAACATGAAACTATCAAAGCCTAATTAGTGTGAAATATCAACTACTTTGAAACACCAAGTGAGTAACAAAAAATTTGGTATCCCAGATTAAACATGTAGAACAATCAATATTAAAGCAATTAAAGTACTCCTTCATAGTTAGCTTGTATATTCACAAAAATCACATTAGAAAAATTCATCTCTGACCATAAATGGACCTTTCTATACTTCTAAATCAAAGGGAGGGGGTACACAACTATTCTGTAATTTAAAAGAGTTCTTTTTCATTATTATAAAAATTGTCTTATATAAAAATATGCCACACAATCTCTTGGAAACTTGTTCCATGACAAAGCAACTATCATTGCTTTTGCAAGTACACACCTATGTTCAACTGTCAGTGTGTCTGTTCTTCCCTCTTGGTAAATGCTGACAGAGCACAATAAGAAATGTTGGTTGTATGTAGGCAGTTTGTATAATTTTTGCCAGAGTCGGTTCTAAAGATGAACTTTTGAAGGGTATGAGTGAGGCATAAAAGTGAAACTTAAGTGACAAAAGAAAGAAAACATTAACCAACAGGAATAATTATATTTTAGTTGGGATATGATGGAGAGGGTGATGTTAAGTCTGAATTTCGATGAAGTGAAAAATTTCTAGTTCTTTCCAAAATTTGAAAATAAAAGTAATGTTGCACTGTTTGGAGAAAGCTCAGAATCGATATATACTGAATTTTGTACAGTTATAAATTATGTTACGGTAAAAAAAAGTTAAATTACTTTTAGATTGCTGAATCTATACAATAAGATTTAAAATGTCTCTAACCCACAAAGCTGATCACTATAGAAAGAAGTGACTTTGTTTTTATTTAAAAACAAACATATAAATATAGCACTCCCACCAGTTAGGTGTATACTAAAAATCAACAAGTAAGAGAAAGTTTATTATTAGGACCATGGAAACTTATTATATCACAAATATTTGATGTAAGACATGATGTAACACTCAATATTAGAGAAACATTAACATTGAAAGTAAGTTTATTCTGCTTCTTTTGATCCCATAGATTACAGCTACTGCAACTAAAGATCTATGAAACAGAAACAGCCAAATGTAAACGATTAAAAGAACAGACAAATCTATAATTTAAAATAAATGAAAAGGTATGGTACCTGGCTAAAATTACTTACTATATTGCACTTACAGTAGATTCAAGAATATTAGACATCTCAGGAAAACCTACCAGGAGGAAAAGGGTGAGTCCATAATTAACTATATTTGGATTCTTCTAATGACTTTAAGCACAGATGTGTGCTATGTGTGCACTACGTTTCACTGGACCCTCAGACAGGCACATGGCACAAAGCAGGGGCGGTGGGGAGTCAATAAATGCCACTGACTAGATGAAAATGAGAAGAATGAAGGCTATTTAAAAAATCATTTGAAAAAGGGTTAAAAATCAATTTCTAACCGAGTCCTTTAAAGAGTACCAGCCCTAACCCAATATGACACAAACTATGGCTGGCTTATTCAGTGGCTTGGCTATTTAGATGTGGTAAGGTATGGTTGAGATAGAATACTTGGTAGAGCACGAATTTTGAAAGAATGATTCATCTACTCTGCAAAGATTGGACCTTACATGAAGCCTAAGTCAAACTTGGGCAAGGTATATAGTCTTGCTAGCCTCACAGAAAGTGGAGAATACATGTTACATCGGGTCATGTGGCCTAACAATGGCAATCTGTGAAAATCCACATAAAGTTTCTGAGGAAGTGGAAGGGTCACAGTAGTCACTCAAAAAACATCGATCATTGTCATTTTCACTATTCAGAGTTAAAATGCAAAGCTAAAGAGTTCCACTACCTCGGCTGAGTTGAAGAGACAAACGTTTCAGTGAGTATATCAGTAACGCATGTGTTTAGCTCATGTTTTTAGGGAACGTAATGCTCTTGGTTTTCATGTTGAAATGAACTATTTAGATATCTCAAGCCATTTCTAGCTCTTCATCTTTCACGCCCCTCCCTATCACTCACATAAAATCAAGTACTGAGTTATAGGGGTCCCACACCACACCAGTCCTTTCCTCAGGTCCTTTCCCTACACCTCAGTGTTACCACGTAACCACACTGTCCCTTCTTTGCCCTCTCCTCTGTCTCAGGATCTCATCGAAAGGAAACCTGATTCAGGCGGGAGCTAAGAAGGCTCCCTCCAGCCGCTCCACCTCTGCAATGTTTTCTCACTCAGGTATGTAGCTCAAAGTTTTCCTATGACCCACCTGGTCCACAGCCGCTCATACCCAAGTAAACGCACAGAGGCTTATATTAATTATAACTGTTTGGCCATTTGCTCAGGCTTGTTACTAACCAGCTCTTATACTTAAATTAACCCATAATTCTTATTTATGTGTAGCCACGAGGCTTGGTACCTTTTCTCAGTTCTGCCTTCACATGTTGATTCTTCTGTGTCTGGCTAGTGACTCCTGACTCAGCCTTCCTGTTCCCAGAATTCTCTTCTCTGCTTATCCTGCCTATACTTCCTGCCTGGCTACTGGCCAACCAGCACTTCATTTATTAACCAATCAGAGTAACACATTCACAGCATACAGAGAGATATCCACAGCACAGGTAAGCACTGCTTGTTGAGACATTTGTTCTTGACATCTTATGTTCAAATTCTGAATGAATTTGTAACAGAACCACTGTGAGGTATCATATACAAGGTGTTTACTAATATTAACCCCCTTGCCTTGGGTATTAACACTAGCCACATCATTTCCCATAGTGTGAAAGAACTAACCCACTGGTCTCAATGAGTTAACAATTTTAATGTTAAAACAATGAATTTGTTTTATACTTTGGGAATGAATCTTTAACTTATAAAGGAAAAACTATCTCATTTTTCTTAATGGATAGAAGTAACCTCTTTTCTTCAGTATAAAAATAAAACTGACTTCTCTAAAGGCATTATGAATGGTAGAATTTTCCCCTGGGATCTGGATAGAAATGCCTTTTTGAATGGAGAGAAGTACCCAAAGAGTGAATTAGTATACAAAAGACCACACGAGGCTCCTATTCCTTTCTTTAGAATCTACCAGTGCTGAACATTGACACATTTGCTGTCCTTCACCTTCCTATTCGTAAAATAAAAATAAAGGATTGTAAAACTTCCAGTGAGTTATGAGAACAAACAGAGGTAAAGTTTTGACAAAAGTGTTTCAACACATAATAGAATCTTGTTTCTTTGCTATAAAATTGAGTTTATTTTATTGTAAAATATAATGACCAATTTAAAATAAATTTGATTCTACCTTTGAAGAGGAAAAATACTAAATGAGAACCTACATGAATTCAGCTAACATACCTTTCATCTCCATAGCACAGTGATTACAAAGCTAAAAGTTTTAAAAAAATTTTTAAAGTTTGCATAAAAATAATGAATATTTAACCCAATCTAAACATTCTATTACCTTTGCATTATACATATAAAAATGTTATATTATCAATCAAGTGTACGATTTATATTTTTATGTACCAATTACAAATAAATATAGCTTAAAAGATGTGGCAACTACAAAATGTCAAAGCTACTTAAAATAAACAAAAGTAGCTATTACTTGTCATTTTATCATCATTAGACATATCCTTCCACTAAAATTTTCAATTTAAAGAGGTGATTTATATTTTTAAGTAAAGACATAATTTATATTATACAATTAAACAATACTGAATACCCTGCTCTTCATTGTTTGCAAAATATTTTCTCCACGTCTTAACAAGTTAGACAAAGGTATTTGTATATTAAGGAATGATATGGGACACTGTGCTTTCCAATTTTCTTTATAAAATATAAACTATTTTATAAACTAAAATAGTTTTCACAAACAATATGAAGGAAGAAGGGTTACGATAGGAAATGGGCTTCTCCAAAAACTCATGAAAAGAATGGTAATGTCTAAGGGAAACAGAAGAGGGGCGACTCTGTATGTAACTTTTTTTATTACAAATACCTGTCAAACGCAAAACCACCACCAATTGGACTAAAGAGGGATCTAATACAACAGAAAGACTTTTTACACTGGAGTCCACCCAAACCTCCCCAAATAGGAACCCCTGCTGTGCTGCCTATTGTGGCTGCCATATGGGCCTGCAGGAATCCCCAAAGACAAGAATGGAGTCCTTCAAAAGCACTGATTACATCCCTGTTTCAGGCCTACCTCAGAGGGACCAGAGATTGGGTTAATCAATTAGCCGAGGTTCCTGCTACCCCAAGAAAGAGAGCATTCTACCCAGAGAGGCTGGGGGCATGAACAAAGCTATCTACTGCGGTGGAGGGGCCTCTCTTGTGCGTCGCACACTGGCCATTGTTCCATTCTGGAAGAGTCACATTCATCACTGTTCAGAGCCTGCACGCACGTCTGTAATACATTGTTGGCTGTTCACCAGTGATTTATTGCAGACCACAACGTAGATCTGACGCGAAACAAGTTGAGAGTTTGGAAGCTGCTGATGAAGGCGGAAAGGGAAGTATGATGGGGAGTTGTGAAGGGCACCACTGCAGAATCAGTTCAGCAACTTCATTGTAGCTTACCCTGGCGCTCATAGTGATAACCCAAACATCCTTGCTGCCCTGGAAGACCTTAGCTGGATTTTTAAAAGTAGTATTTGTAGCAGTGAAATTAGAAAAAAAAAAAAGTGATGATTGAGAATTCTTTCAAAAGAAAAGGAAGGAAAGAGAGAGGGGAGAGAGGAAGAGAGGGAGAGATAGTTGGGGAGTTATAATCAATTTTAAAAGTCTCCATTGTTCTCCAAAATACTTTAAGGTCCTTGCTTACTGAATATACATTAAAATTCTGTAATTGGAAGAAAACTGTTTCCCCCGAATTTGTTTCCCCCAAATTACTAGGTGACATTAAATAATAAATTTGTCTATTATATGAAAATTAAATTTATTGTTGTTGTATGATTTGAATATCCTCTGTGTAACAGATACCCAGCGATATCAGTACATGGGTAAACATTCATCTTGGGGGAAAAAATCTTCTGTGCTTTGGCACCATTTGTTGTTATCATAAATAATTTGATCAAGAAAGCTTCACTTGGTCAGAAAACACTGATTGTGTTATGGTAGTTGTTATAATTCTGAACATGTTTTTTTTTTTTTTCAGCAAATGCCATATATAGAAATAATAACTACATCTGGATGCAACATTTGATGTGCTTCGGGTGACCCATTTGGCAACTCGAGTGAATTCTACAGGAACTGGGATATCATTTTTTAGTCATGCTTTTAAAAGCAGTACTCAAAATCTCAGAGATGGGAGAGCGGATGTTTAATTAATCTGGTTAAATAAAAATAATTATCCATCACCATTCATGTATCTTCAACTGTTCAAGACATTAAACCTTCAGAGACCCAGGACTATAAGAAACAGCTGCTTTTTGGCCAATTATGTCCTGAGCTGTCAAAATTCATAATACTCAAGCAGTCCCTTCTCCCCATTACAAAAGGGGAAATGATCCAAATAGGTATGGTGTTCATACCATCAGTTTTAAGCTGATATTTAAAACAAGAATGTGCTCAAGAAGGATTATAGTCTCCTTTCTTCATCTTAGTTTCCCCAACTGGGAAACAGACACATATCACTAAATGACAAATCATTTCACATTTATTTATTTATTCATCACATAGACAGTGCTCTGCACGCATGTAATGCCTGCAGGCCAGAAAAGGGAGCCAGATCTCATTATAAATGGTTGTGAGTCACCATGTGGTTGCTGGGAATTGAACTCAGGACCTCTGGAAGAACAGGCACGGCTCTAAATCCCTGAGCCATCTCTCCAGCCCAACACGGTAGGTTTTATTAGTGCCTAATCAACATTATCCTTTGTTTGAAATTTAAATTTTAGAGAATAATGTTGTTGGAGCTGTTAAAGACACCCTCTTGGTTAATTTGTTAAATGTTCTTTACCTTGTCGAACCCAAGAAGGTTGGGGGCGGGGCAAAAATGAGAAGAACCAGGAAGGGCATTTATGCATCAGTAAGGGGCCACTTCAGTACGTGACTGCACTCAGAAACATAGAAGAGAATGTTTAGTTTAGCATCATACTCAGGAGGAGAAACAAAGGTTGGTAACAGAAATGATGCTCGCCATTAGCTCCCATCCACAAGATCTGGATGGATATGTGTGAATACACACTCCCTCACACTCCTTATTTCTTGCTGCTGACTCACAGCTGTACTTCAATTCAGGTTATCAAGGTGATCGGCATCTTCCCTGCCACACACCGACTGTCTAGACCAGTGATTCTAAACCTTGGCAGAGCAGCAGAATCACCTGGGACCTCTTCTACTTTTCAAAGTCCAGGCCACACATCAATGCAATTAATTCCTAGGCTTTTCGGAAAGGAACACAGCATCGGTGTTTTCTGAAGCTACCTCCTGCCCAGGTGGGGCCAGCATACAGACATACAGATAAACGGAGACAACTCAATCTCTAGCCAGGCAACATGTTCAGAAATCAAGACTTAAGAAGCTCCAAGTGTTCCTGTCTGTTACAAGGTATTGGTGGAGTTTTTGTTTAGCTGATTATGTTCTTCAGCTGATATTGTAGAACTTGAAAAACATTAACTTTAATTAGCATCTTAATTTAAGAAGAAACATTTGAAAAGGAAGTTGTATGTCACATTTGTGGACTTTTGAAGGCACTGTGGATTTTCAAGACAACATTTTTAATGGACTATTGCTTTAAAAAAAATCAAATACTCTGGTTTCTCTTCAGATCGTATAAACCTAAAAAGAATCAAAACCTTAACATTCCATTCATTTTCAAGAAAATCTGTCACAATTCCACATACCTAATAAGAAAATATTATAGCTAAAGGTAAAAATCGAAATGGTGTGTTGCAAATGGGTCATCAATTAGGAATGAACTAAAAGATAACAAAGCTATCAAATTTTGACTTGGAGTCATCAAACTCATATTAATATCAATTCATAGTGCAAAGTAAAATGCATATATGGTATCTTGTATTTAAACAAAGGTCCAAAAGGATATTTTATTTTACAACTCATTTCCAAAATCAAACACAAAAAAATCACTAAACGTGATTTTTCTACTTTTTCCATATTTGTTTTGTCTCTTTTCACTTATATTATAAACCAAAGAAAAGTAATTCAAAAGATAAACTAGCCAGTGAAAGCCTATAAAGTCTACAAATCCACATTATCATCTGCAATTTATTCCCAGTGTTAGATACAAGATCTGTTACCCTGGTGTTCATCAAATTCTGGGGTCAATAAATCATTTACTATGCAACAGCAGTTTGTATCTGTGTGTTTAGAGACATGTGTGTGGATGGCAAAGGACAACTTGGATTGTCATCCTCAGGCACCTTCCAGGTTTCATTTGAGACAAAACGTTTTGTTTGCCTAGAAATCTGCACATATGCCAGGATAGTTAGCCCAGGACTTCCTTGGGGGATCTGTCTGCCTGTGCCTCCCAAATGGCAATGCCTGGTATTACAAACCAACATACCCAGTTAGTTTTTATGTGAACTCTGGGGATTGAATTCAGGTCCTCTCTCCAGCGAGGAAGCACCTTCCTCACTGAGCCATTTCCCCAGCCCTGAAGTATTCTTTCTGTCTCTATTAATCACAGTCTAAATGTGCCATTCTGTTTGTTTGTTTGTTTGTTTGTTTGTTTGTTTGTTTGAAGAATAATGGAATTAGAGGCAGAGAGACAACTTATATCAGTGAGCATATTTTCTGAAGGTGGAAAAGTTTGCTGCTATAAAAACATCAAATAACACAATTTTCTAGACCTTGAGGCCACTGCCATGGTGGGAACCATTCACTGCAAACAAACAAACAAAGAGACAATCATCTGACTGGGCCATTCAAAGAACTGGCTGCTGTTAAACAGTAGTAATATTTCAAATACTGGTATGCAGTTAACTCTATGCAATTCAATATCCAGTAGCAATGCCTCAAAACATATAGCACGTAAGTATACCTCAGGGATGGAGATATTCTTAGCAGTCATAAAGCCTCAGGCTCCACCATTAGCACCAAAAGTTAAAAAAAACTTATATTCAAAGCTGATAATAGACAATGTGCTTTCAGAAAATAAATAAATGTCAATGAAAGCATAGATTTTTGCCTATGTACTATTGAATGGTCATTGTCTTCCTTAAAGTATCATCTAAAAGTAGAAGGGAATAAAAGCAAATTTAAGACTGTGTCACTACAATGGGTTAGCAGCTAAGGTTTGGACAATGAGGGAAGTATAGATCATAAGCTTTATTATAGAATGGCTTCCACACATCATCACACATATATTAGGGTGTCTTGTCCCAGCTCATGATAGAAAGCATTGCAGTTGATTTCTGCAAACTGGGCAGGAAAGCCTTGGGGACTAAGGGAGTGTGGCTATTATCCCTGGGATGAGTCATTAAGACATATGATCTAAGCTTCAAGAAAAACACTTAAACCAGAAAACATGGTCATTGGAGAGTCAACAAGATAACAAAAATGGCCATTATTCTGAGATAGAACCAAAATCAACAGATTAACAACTTGCTAAATTAATATCTACTTTGGCTTAGCAGAGAGATTCTTAATACATTTCATGTTAGGATAGAAAATAAAAACCATTTTAATTATCAAATAGAGTAACAGATAGATGTATAGATAGGCAGACACACAGAGAGAAATGGATAGGTAATTGATTGATTGATTGGTTGATTAATGGACAATAACAATATTTCGAGCAATTCAGACCATGAGGGGAGGCCTAAGAATGTAAAATCTTGAAGTTTTTAAATGATAAATCTTGTAGCTGAAAGTTTTCCTGTGTCCCGCCTGGTCCGCTGCTGCTCAGACCCAAATAGACACACAGAGACTTATATTAATTATGAACTGTATAGGCTAATGGTTCAGGCTTCTCACTAGCTAGCTCTTATATATTAAATTAATCAATTTCTATAAATCTATACTTTGCCACATGGCTCATGATTTACCAGTACCTTTATATCTTGCTTCTCATGGTGGTGGCTAGCAGCGTCTCCTCTGCTCCTCTTTCTTTCTTCCTCTCTCTCTTTAGAATGTCCTTCCTCATCTTATTCTGCCCCACCATTGGTCAAACAACTTTATTTATCAGCCAGTCAGACAAACCACAAACTAACCTCACCTCACCAAAATCTGATGAAAAATTCACCATATTTTTAATGAAAATTCACTATACCTAGTTCACTAAATCTTTCTATTAATGCACACAGTGACATTTTAAAGTAAAATGTTGTTGACTCCTTGAATATCAGTCCTACATTTAGCCCCAAAACTAGTTTCAAGGGAAATGTACATCCCATTCCTTTCATCTTTGTCTACATAATTCCTCTGAGAAATGAATATGGGTGATTCCTTCTGCATGTATATGTTCACCAAAGAGTTCTGAAAGTTGAATTGCTTTCAAAATGATTTTTACAGTAACTTTAAAAGAAAAATATTATGAGTTAATTACAAAATGTTTTTACTAATGTTTGATAAGTGTAATGATTTTTTTCCCTCCAAAGTAAATATTATATTCGAGAACAGGATGGAAAACAAGTAATTTTATAAGACTAATTTCATGAAGAGTATAGACAGTAATAATCCAAAAAGGGAAATCAGTGTAATGCTTTTATCCATCTCTTACACCTCCTTCTCATTATTCATCCATCCAGATATTAGCAGCCTCACTACTGAGACAAAAATTGCTTGTTCGCTTATTGTAAGGCTCTTCTTTAGATAAGTGGCAATTTGCATCTGCATGAGCAATGTATGGCAGTGGCTCATCTGGCCCAAGGCAGTATGCAATTTGGCACACAATGTCATGCTGACCTGAAGTAAGTGGGCTATACTGCTTGCATGAGACATGTAATGGGGAGGGGAAATACCACATTCAGTTCTTACAGCCCACAATTTCATTATGCCTTGACAATCATGAGTATAGCAGACATCATACCTACAAATGTTAGGAAGTTAATTAACCAATGAAACATTACCAGGGCCTATCATTCAGCCAACAAAAATTATAATGTGATGTTCGTTCAGATTAGTGATCACCAAGTTTTCTACAAGCCCTCAAGATTTACCAAAAGAGAAAGATCTAATAATGGATGTGGGTATGTCTTAAAGGAGTTTTACTTTAAAATATAGTAATATATATATATATATATATATATATATATATAATGAAAGCAAGTACAATATTAAAACTTACTACTAATTATAGATAGCTTCTGATATCCAGCAGGGGGTTTAAAATAATGCCATTTATTGTAAAATGCTCT